CACCAACGATGGGGCACTATTCCTCCCCCCACTGACACCAACGATGGGGCACTATTCCTCCCCCCACTGACACCAACGATGGGGCACTATTCCTCCCCCCACTGACACCAACGATGGGGCACTATTCCTCCCCCCACTGACACCAACGATGGGGCACTATTCCTCCCCCCACTGACACCAACGATGGGGCACTATTCCTCCCCCCACTGACACCAACGATGGGGCACTATTCCTCCCCCACTGACACAAACGATGGGGCACTATTCCTCCCCCCACTGACACCAACGATGGGGCACTATTCCTCCCCCCACTGACACCAACGATGGGGCACTATTCCTCCCACCACTGACACCAACGATGGGGCACTATTCCTCCCACCACTGACACCAACGATGGGGCACTTTTTTTCCCCCCACTGACACCAACGATGGGGCACTATTCCTCCCACTGATACCAATGATGGGGCACTATTCCTCCCACTCATACCAATGATGGGGCACTATTCCTCCCACTGATACCAATGATGGGGCACTATTCCTCCCACTGACACCAATGATGGGACACTATTCCTCCCACTCATACCAATGATGGGGCACTATTCCTCCCACTCATACCAATGATGGGGCACTATTCCTTCTACTGACACCAATGATTGGGCACTATTCCTCCCACTGATACTAATGATGGGGCACTATTCCTCCCACTGACACCAATGATGGGGCACTATTTCCTCCCACTGATACCAATGATGGGGCACTATTCCTCCCACTGATACCAATGATGGGGCACTATTCCTCCCACTGACACCAATGATGGGGCACTATTCCTCCCACTGATACCAATGATGGGGCACTATTTATCCCACTGACGCCAATGATGGGACACTATTCCTCCCACTGACACCAATGATGGGACACTATTCCTCCCACTGACGCCAATGATGGACACTATTCCTCCCACTGATACCAATGATGGGGCACTATTCCTCCCACTGACGCCAATGATTGGGCACTATTCCTCCCACTGACACCAATGATGGAGCACTATTCCTCCCACTGACACCAATGATGGGGCACTATTCCTCCCACTGACACCAATGATGGGGCACTATTCCTCCCACTGACACCAATGATGGGACACTATTCCTCCCACTGACACCAATGATGGGGCACTATTCCTCCCACTGATACCAACGATGGGACACTATTCCTCCCACTGACATCAGTGATGGGGCGCTAGTCCTCCCACTGCAAAATTACAGTTATGAAGTAGCAACGAAAATAATTTTATGGTTGGGGGTCACCACAACATGAGGAACTGTATTAAGGGGTCGCGGCATTAGAAAGGCTGAGAACCACTGCTTTAAATGGTCCCTCAGTCTGGTTCAGTAGGAATCACAATCATGGGAAAGACTGCTGACCTGACACCATCACTGACACCCTCCATAAGGAGGGAAAGCCTCAAAAGGTAATTGCAAAAGAAGTTGGATGTTCCCAAAGTGCTGTATCAAAGCACATTAATAGAAAGTTATGTGGAAGGGAAAAGTGTGGAAGAAAAAGGTGCACAAGCAGCAGGGATGACCGCAACCTGGAGAGGATTGTCAGGAAAAGGCCATTCAAAAGTGTTGGGGACATTCACAAGGAGTGGACTGAGGCTGGAGTCAGTGCATCAAGAGCCACCACACACAGACGGATCCTGGACATGGGATTCAAATGTCGTATTCCTCTTGTCAAGCCGCTCCTGAACAACAAACAACGTCAGAAGCGTCTTACCTGGGCTAAAGAAAAACAGACCTGGTCTGGTGCAGTGGTCCAAAGTCCTCTTTTCTGATGGGAGCAACTTTTGCATCTCATTTGGAAACCAAGGACCCCAAGTATGGAGGAAGAATGGAGAGGCACAAGGACCCCGAGTATGGAGGAAGAATGGAGAGGCACAAGGACCCCGAGTATGGAGGAAGAATGGAGAGGCCCAAGGACCCCGAGTATGGAGGAAGAATGGAGAGGCCCAAGGACCCCGAGTATGGAGGAAGAATGGAGAGGCACAAGGACCCTGAGTATGGAGGAAGAATAGAGAGGCACAAGGACCCCGAGTATGGAAGAAGAATAGAGAGGCCCAAGGACCCCGAGTATGGAGGAAGAATGGAGAGGCCCAAGGGCCCCGAGTATGGAGGAAGAATAGAGAGGCACAAGGACCCCGAGTATGGAGGAAGAATGGAGGGGCACACACTGCAAGATGCTTGAAGTCCAGTGTGAAGTTTCCACAGTCTGTGTTGATTTGGGGAGCCATGTCATCTGCTGGTGTTGCCACTGTGCTTCATTAAGTCCAGGGTCACCGCAGCCGTCTACCAGGAGATTTTGGAGCACTTCATGCTTCCTTCCACAGACGAGCTTTATGGGGGAGCTGACTTCATTTTCCAGCAGGACTTGGCTCCGCCCACACTGCCAAAAGCACCAAAACCTGGTTCAATGACCGTGGGATTACTGTGCTTGATTGGCCAGCACACTCACCTGACCTGAACCCCATAGAGAATCTATGGGGCATTGCCAAGAGAAAGATGAGAGACATGAGACCGAACAATGCAGAAGAGCTGAAGGCCGCTATTGAAGCATCCTGGTCTTCCATAACACCTCAGCAGTGCCACAGGCTGATAGCTTCCATGCCACGCCGCATTGAGGCAGTAATTGCTGCAAAAGGGGCCCCAACCAAGTACTGAGTACATATGCAGCTTCTACTTTTCAGAGGTGCGATATTGTTCTATGTACAATCCGTGTTTTATTGATTGCATGGAATATTCTCATTTTCTGAGATTGTGGATTTGGGGTTTTCATGAGCTGTAAGCCATAATCATCACAATGATGACAAATCACGGCTGGAACTATCTTGCTTTGCATGGAATGAGTCTCATATATTAGTGTCACCTTTTAAGTTGCTGCACTGAAATAAATCAACTTTTGCACCGTATTCTAATTTTTCGAGTTTCACCTGTACACTGTATTTTTAAAACTATTTTTCCAGATATTTTGTAATAAAAACGCATTTCAACATGCAGTGCTATATATTTACATTTCAAATACACTGCATGTCTTTAAAAATACAAATCTACATTTCTGGAACGCATTTACAAATATAGGTAAAATATATTTAAAAATGACTTTTTTATATGGCAAAAAAAATCTGAAGAATATATTTAAAAAAAATATATATTTTTAAAAATATTTTTCTGATATTTTGTAATAAAAAAGCATTTCAACGTCCCCAGACCTGGGAACTTGGCACAGGGATGGTGGAAACCCCTCATAATGGGCACAGCGGGTGTACAGACCCGGGAACTCAGCACAGGGATGGTGGGAACCCCTCATAATGGGCACAGCTGGTGTACAGACCTGGGAACTCAGCACAGGGATGGTGGGAACCCCTCATAATGGGCACAGCGGGTGTACAGACCCGGAAAACTCAGCACAGGGATGGTGGGAACCTCTCATAATGAGCACAGCTGGTGTACAGACCAGGGAACTCAGCACAGGGATGGTGAGAACCCCTCATAATGGGCACAGCGGGTGTACAGACCAGGGAACTCAGCACAGGGATGGTGAGAACCCCTCATAATGGGCACAGCGGGTGTACAGACCCGGGAACTCGGCACAGGGATGGTGGGAACCCCTCATAATGGGCACAGCGGGTGTACAGACCAGGGAACTCAGCACAGGGATGGTGAGAACCCCTCATAATGGGCACAGCGGGTGTACAGACCCGGGAACTCAGCACAGGGATGGTGGGAACCCCTCATAATGGGCACAGCGGGTGTACAGACCCGGGAACTCAGCACAGGGATGGTGGGAACCCCTCATAATGGGCACAGCAGGTGTACAGACCCGGGAACTCAGCACAGGGATGGTGGGAACCTCTCATAATGGGCACAGCGGGTGTACAGACCCGGGAACTCAGCACAGGGATGGTGGAAACCCCTCATAATGGGCACAGCGGGTGTACAGACCCGGGAACTCAGCACAGGGATGGTGGGAACCCCTCATAATGGGCACAGCGGGTGTACAGACCCGGGAACTCAGCACAGGGATGGTGGGAGACTGTCAGGATATTTACAGTACCTCTCCAGTTGCAGACTATTGAAATATTGGTTGTATGACTGTGGGGGGGAGGGCATTAGAGTGTAAGCTCTTCTGGTACAGAGACCGATGTGTACAGATTAGTGTAATATTAGTAGTGCAATAACCTGATGAACGTTTTGCTGGACGTACTACCAGCAGCCATGAAATCAGTATCGCCCCTGGACGGCGCTCCTCTCTATCCCTCTGCCTAGTGTGAATTTGCAATGTGAGCGCTCCCCGCAGCACCGCGCAGCTTCACGCTCCACCCGTGTTTACAGTACCATCTGCTGCGGGTGACACATGTGAGCAGCTGTTCCTGCAAATCCAACTTGTTCCCACACCGTTCAGATTTCACAGAAAAATCTTCTCCTTCTGTTAACCCGTTTATTGACAAACTAAGGCGGGGCAAAAAGATAAAAATCTGTCGATGAACGGGTTATTTTTCAATGACTGATATCTGATGAATAATTAAAAGACAAAAAATTTAACAAACAAAAAATGAAAAAAGGGGCTAAAATGTTTTGATTTTTCTCATTTATGTTACAGTTTCACTTTCACCTTTCCCTGTGCCGAGTTCCCGGGTCTGCATACCCGCTGTGCCCATTATGAGGGGTTCCCTCCATCCCACCCTGACCCATAACTAATAGAAATGTAAATCCTCCCTCTGGCCTTCCTTTCAGTCTTGCACAGGTGTACTGGCTCCTCCCCTTCAGTCTTGCACAGGTGTACCGGCTCCTCCCCAGTCTTCAGTCAGTTACACAGGTTTGTACCGGCTCCTCCCCTTCAGTCTTGCACAGGTTTAGCGGCTCCTCCCCCCCTTCAGTCTTACACATGTGTACCAGCTCCTCCTCCCCTTCAGTCTTGCACAGGTGTACTGGCCATCTCCTCCCCTTCAGTCTTGCACAGGTGTACCGGCTCCTCCCCTTCAGTCTTGCACAGGTGTACCAGATCCTCCCCTTCAGTCTTGCACAGGTGTACCGGATCCTCCCCCCTTCAGTCTTGCACAGGTGTACCGGATCCTCCCCCTTCAGTCTTGCACAGGTGTACCGGATCCTCCCCTTCAGTCTTGCACAGTTGTGCCATCTCCTCCCCTTCAGTCTTGCACAGGTGTACCGGCTCCTCCCCTTCAGTCTTGCACAGGTGTACTGGCTCCTCCCCTTCAGTATTGCACAGGTGTTCCGGCTCCTCCCCTTCAGTCTTGCACAGGTGTACCGGCTCCTCCCCTTCAGTCTTGCACAGGTGTACTGGCTCCTCCCCTTCAGCTCACTACCAGCTCCCCCTTCAGTCTTGCACAGTTTTACTGGCTCCTCCTCTTCAGTCTTGCACAGGTGTACTGGCTCCTCCCCTTCAGTCTTGCACAGGTGTACTGGCTCCTCCCCTTCAGTCTTGCACAGGTGTACCGGCTCTTCTCCTGGAGTGAAACGGCTTCCTCTGATTTCACTGCACACTGGGAGCTTCTCACAATGTACATTAGAAGCTGCAGCAGGGCAGTTAGAGCTCCGCCTCATTTCCTGGCTGGAGGACATCCTGCATCATCCTGTCTTTCCTCCTCAGCTTGACTCTCCCTGGTTCCGCCCTTTTCACTTATTGGATTTCAGTTCTTTCAATCTGTCAGGGATCCCGGGTCCTCGGCGGTGCGCACATGCGCAGATTGCCGATCCGTCCCAGCCGGCGAGCACAGAGTCCTCTGCTAGTAATCGCGGCCGCACCAATGGGAGAACAGGGCGCTCTATTTAAAACTGCCCTGTGCATCTCCAAGTTGCCGCAAGGTCTTGTTCCTGTTCCTGTAAGTACGTTTCCTTGTTGCCAAACTCTGCCTGTTCCGATTTATGCTGACCCTCTCCTGCTCTGACCCCGGCTCGTTCCTGACCATCCTTCTGCCTGATCCCCTGTACCACGCTGCCCGCTACCTGCTGAACCTGGCTTGTGACCCCGACCATTCTCCGCTTGCTCCACGCTGCCCGCACGATACCGACCCAGCTAGTCTGACCTCGCTCCTAGCAGTCTCCCATCCATCCTGCTCGGATCGGGATCTGTCATGCCATCCATCCTGCTCGGATCGGACCTGTCGTCCCCTTCACAGCAGGCTCATCCCGGGCACACACCCTCAGCGGGACCCCTCTGCCACCGCCGGGGGTGCCCAGGGGCGCGACCTGGTTCCAGTCTTGCATCAAGTCCATCCCCACCATCAGGGGCCTTGGTGAAAAGGCAGACTGGGACTTAGACTCCGCGTCCTGGGAAACCCCGTGCTGTGGACCACTAGAGATCCCGTTGGGCGGAGCCTGACACAATCATTGAGGCTCGGCATCAGATGTGGACGTTACCTATGCAATATACAGCCTGCCTAAAAACGGCCACTCCTCTAGACTAACATCTGCTCACCAAGGCATTTTGATATTTGCATAACTCCTCCCAAGAGCCAGCCCACTCAGAGCTGCTGTAAGAAACCACAGGGCCCAAAACAGCCAACCTGAAAGAAGGGCCCCCCAATAGAAAACATAGTTATGAATGAACACAGTGAGTGATCAGTACTGATCACTCATTGTGTTAATTCAGGAAAGGAGGAGGCTAGTAAATGTGACATATTTACCAGACCCTTCCCCCACTCTCCATCCTGAGGGATCCTATTGTGTGCCTGCAGTTGCCGGTGGGAAGGAAAGGGAAGGTGGCAGCACTGGGCAGGTGGGGGCACACTGGGGGGAAAGTCGGTGGGAAGAAGAGGAGAAGAAGCCATCTTTCAGCTTCTGCAGAGAGAGCTATACAGGGGATCTGTCCCAGTAATTGCCCCCCAGCCATGCCTTTGTCCAAATCCAATTCGCCCAAATCCAATTCACCCTGGGCCCCCTGCTGGCCTGGGCCCCATACAGTAGGACTGATGGGACCCCCTTATCCATGAGCCCACTGCTTGCATCAAGGCTGAGGGCCCTTGAGAAGAGTACTTAGGCAGGACGCTATGTACAGCACCCTGCCCATCCCCCCCCCCACCCCTCCCACCAGCCATGATCTGCCTGTGTTGCAAAGAGAAGCACAGAGATCCGGTGATTATGTCACTAAAATAAGGATTGTCATGAAAGCAGAAAGGTTTTATTTAAAAATGTTGATGATAGGTGTAACAGAATCGACCCCAGACTACGCTTGGGTACTTCCGTTAGAATACAGCTTCCCCGTCCGAACACTGACCACAGATACCACCGCTGACCATACAAGACTAGTTGACACCAGTCTTGAAGTAAACCAGGAAGTAGACTAGTTTAACACATATACAAGATATACACTCAGGGGAACAACCCCCCCTCCCTGCATAATGACACAGGGTGGGGCAATCTAGCTTTAGTAACAAGAGACACATCAACAGACAGTCCCATCAGGAGGGAGGGCTGCTGGAGACACCCCCTTCCCACCAAGCCAATACACATAAACACATACATCCCATATTAGTTTGCTCCCAAGCAAGACACACAGTAGAACAATGGGATGCAACCACATGGCATTAAACAATCAACAACCCCTCACCCCAATATTAGGACAGATCACCCTGTACCAGAGGCGTCCCTAGAGTTGGTGTCACCCGGTGCGGTAACACTTGGTGACACCCCCTCCGACGATCCCCGCAGAATGGATCAGATCTGCGGATTGAGCATAATGGATCGGACTCCGATCCATTATGCTCAATCCGCAGATCCGATCCATCCTGCGGGGATCGTCGGCTTTCTTCACAACTTACCTTTTCTTGGAGCGGGTCCAGGGCAATTGCGCATGTCCTGGTTTCAGGCACGATCAATCGATGATAGCAGTAGTTCTATCATCGATTGATCGTGCATGAAACCCGGACATGCGCAGTTGCTTCAGGGGGACATATCTACATGGGAGACACATCTTGCCGCTACACCGGTGTCACCCCGCAGGACCGTCCGCATGCAACCTATACGTGGTGATACCGGACCCGCTCCATGAAAAGGTAAGTTGTAAATAAAGCCGACGATCCATCCTGCGGGGATCGTCGGCTTGCTTTACAACTTACCTTTTTGTGGAGCGGGTCCGGTGTCACCCCTTGTGGTCAGTGTCACCCGGTGCAGACCGCACCACCCGCACCTGCCTCAGGATGCCACTGCCCTGTACCCCTAACAGGCACAGGGTGACTTACACATAATAGGGATATGGGGAGCTGAGACAGGGGTCTCCCCACCTCTCCGAAGTGAGCTGGGTTCCATAGGCCCCCCACCCAAAGTGACTCCCGTCACAATAGGGGACCACAGAAGACGGATTAAACTTCAGCTTTAACCCAAGTCTACATAGATTCTTGTTTGGTGCAAATCCTCAGGTCCCACGGCGAGGTGCAGGCCGGAACGGACTCTGGAGACGATAAAATAGCTGAAGTTGCAGAAAAACAAAAAAGGTAAAAATTCCGTAACTAATCCATCATAACTGTTTATTGTTTGTCTTGGTCAATGGTGGGCCATTTACTGCAGGATGCAGACTATTTTTCCCTCGTAGAGTGTCATCACCCGCGTTGCACGCCGTCGGTTGCCGTATCTCAGCAGAAATAGCCAGCGTACGGTCTACCTTCAGCATCCGCCGCTCTGCGCAGCTGCTGACAGGGAAGAGCCATTTGTGTGATGGATTGAGCCATCGCTGCCAAGATCAGCCGCAACGACGGCTCGCATGTGTCCCTGGGAAGCGGCTCACCATCCCGCTAACCTTTCTATTCCTCTCCTGGGGTCCCGTCCGCAGACGGAGCATTTCATCGCCTCGTCTGCTTCAATCGCTAAATAATTCAGTTTTTTTTTTTTTTTTTTTTTTTTGTGCGTGCGTGCGGGGGGTGGGGAACGAGCTGCCATCGTAATAAAAAGCAGAGATAACATATAACGGGAGTCGGGTGTATTTTCATTTTATAATATTATTTAACCCCTTCACATCAAAGGGTAAAACAAATCTAAATGCCTAAGCACAATTTTGCAACGTTGACCTGTGTTAGTAAAACCGTCCGTATCATCACCACTACTTTGTACATCCGGGTGGATTATACCGCGTTTTTTTCAGGGCAAATTGGGATTTCATTTGGTGGTAAATGGTAATGGATATCTCCTGAATTTTTTTTATTATCAAAGGAAAACTGGCCCAAAATAGTAAAAAAATAATAATTTTTTTAAATTTAGCTGCGTGTTTCTTGTTACTACCATAACCTACCACCAAAGGACAACCCAAAATAAATTCTCCAGCTCCTGACGATCGCAGCGATACCATCTATGTGTATGTTATTTGTTGTTTGTACCCGGAGTACAGCCCAGAAACAATAGTGCGCAATTTGTTTTGTTTTGGGTTTTTTTTAACCCCTCGGCCTCCTGAGGATTTACCCCCCTTAATGACCACGCCTCTTTTTGCTACTCGGCGCTGCACTAATTCAACTGACAATTGCGCGGTCATGCAATGCTGCACCCAAATGAAATTTACGTCCTTTTTTTCACACCAGCGCAGCGCTGTGCTAGTTTAACGGACAATTGCGCGGTCATGCAATACGGTACATAAATGAAATTTACATCCTTTTTTTTTCCACAAATTGAGCTTTCTTTTGGTTGTATTTGATCGCCTGTGCGGTTTTTTATTTTTTTGCGCTATAAAAAAAAAGGCTGACAATTTTGAGGAAAATAAACAATATTTTGGACTTTTTGCTATAAAACATTTCCAGTAAAAAAAAAATTGAAAAATCAAATTTAGTCATAAATTTCGGCCAAAATGTATTCTGCGACATGTCTTTGCTAAAAAAAAAAAAAAAATACATGTAAATTAATTGGTTTACGTGAAAGTTATAGCGTTTACAAATGGCGGGAAAGATACTGGGATTTTTAGGTTTTTTTTTTATACTAATAATGGTGGCGATCAGCGACTTATGGCGGGACTGCGGCGGACATTCTGACATTGGGGGGTACTGACTTGGGGTCACTGACATCCCCAGTGACACCAATACAGTGATCAGTGCAAAAAAAAAACACTGACACTGTACTAATGGCACTGGGGAGGAAGGGGTTAAGTTTATTTTTCAGGGAAGGGTTATCTGTGTGAGGGGGAGTGTTTTACTAGGGGGGGGGGGGTGTGTACTGCAGGGAACACCACTGATCGGGAGAGAGAAACTCTTCTTTCTCGATCAGCTCGTCCTCGAGCTGTCAGGGAAGTGACAGAAAGCACAGCTACTGCAGCCCTGCTGTCTGTCACTGATTGCCGCCGATCGCCGGGAGATAGCCGGTAAGGACCGGCTGTGACCCGGTGACTGACATCTGCAGCTGGGATCGGTGGGACAGGTAGAGCGGCGGCGCGCCTCGCGCGTGCCCCCTACCTGTTTACAAAATACAAGTTATAAAATGTGGTTTTGCCTGCCCGTGTCGCCCTGCCAACGTATTTCTACAGTGGCAGGGTGGCAAGTGGTTAACTAAAACACACTGACACTTTTTTAAAAATCCTGACCTTTGACCCTGACCTTTTTTGACCTTGACCTTTGACCCTGACCTTGATCCAAACACTTACCCTGGCACTAAACTCGATCAAAACCTTGATCTAGGGGTTTTTTTTGTTTTTGTTTTTTTTTTCATATTTATTTATTTATTTTTTACAAACATTTTTTTCCCTTTATGCC